TATTTCATGGGCGATTCTCTCCAGTAGAATGCATTAACTTATCAGCGACGCTCAACCACCAAGGAGACGTGACCTAGAGAGATCGAGTGCAGGGGAATTGGCCTCCATTTATCACAAGTTCCGGATCGAATCTCAATCCATAACCAGTAAAAAAAGGACTCACCCGTAACAGACATATACCACCCCCTTCCCTTCCCGGGACGATGTTCTATTTTTTCGATTTATTTTTAAAGTCGATAAAGTAGATCTGTCAAGCCAACACATACACTCTAAAGTACACTGTTATTTTTTTTAATCAATAAATTCGCCAACCAACAGTAAAATAACAATAATATATAATGTTATTGAAAAAAAAATTTATGGGGAAATCACGAAAATTTCATTGTTAAGATACTTAACAACCCCCCTTTTTTATTGTAAATTTTCCATTTACCATGAAATTTATTGTTTTGTTCAACATAAATCAAGGTAAATTTATTGTAGACGTAACAATAATAAATCATTATTAAGACAATAATTTTCGTCTTATTGTTACATTGTTTTTTAATGTATTTTTGTTGTTATTTTTTTTAAAGCGGCCTAGCGTCAGTCTCTATTCCGCAATCTAGTGCCAATCACCGACGGACATCGATTGCCATCCATTGACGGCAATCGAATGTGCAGGAAGGCAGTTTCCACATCTGCGAAGGATATCGCAACCATTCAACACGCATGGGCCGGGACGAACGGCTTTACTTCCCTTCCCAAGGGGTGACCAGATATTTTTATGTCTCAGAAAAATTCCACCGACCTCGGCTGGGATTTAACCTAGACTCATCGGGGTGAGAAAGCAGTCTAGAAAGACGCGTCCCTTATTTTCAGAAATTCGACCAATTTGTAAATTCAACCTCTTAAAATGTTCGTTTTGGTTTGAAAACAAACATCAAAATTTGAAGTTAACGTTTAGAGGTTGCTCATCGGCCCTAAAGGAATGATAGTGTAAGCAACCCCAATGCCATGGTGAACACGCTACCTTGGTGTACGCTCCATATGTATCACCATGAATCCATGGTATAAACCATGAAAAGATACTCGCACACGTATGCTGAACGTCAACATAAAACAGTATGTTACATAGTCACTCTTTTTGCAATAAAATGTTCGAGTTTATATGAAAGCTCTCTCTCTCTCTCTTTGTTCAAAAAAAGGACAACGCTGTCATGCGTTGAATTTAGCGTAAAACCTTTGTCACGGCTACACAAAAGCAACTGGTTTATAGCTACCTGTGTTGTTGCCGCTGCTACTGTTGCTGCTACTGCTGTTAAGGCCGGCGCACAATAGATACGTTTTCGGGTTTTTTGACAGATAATGCATGGGCTAACTGTCAAAAAACCTGAAAACGTATCTATTGTGCGCCAGCCTTTACTGCTGCTAGTCCGTCTGCTTCAAAGTTCGTTGCTGCTAGTCCGTCTGCTTCAAAGTTCGTTACAAGAATGACTTCATTAGGCATTGGTAAACTATATTTATATGGCCTGGGTTCAATCCCAGTCGGCGTCGCCGGGATGTTCTTAAGCATAACATCGGAAGGGAAGTAAAGCCGTTGGTCCCCGGTTCATGAGTTGATGGGTCGATAGGTAGGGTCCAGGTGTGGGAGCTGCCTTCCTGGCGTCGGTAGCATTGGTGCTCAGCACGGAAAACAATATCGACGAAAAACAAACCAAGGGGAAAAAAATGTAGCTAAATTTCCACTTGTTTCCGAAGCACTGTTAGTTGCCATGGAATTTCCTCTCACAAACCAAGAAGATTCGGATCAGATGACTACTTGTGCAACGTCTACTTTCAATTTTGTCACGTTTTACGCAGAGTTGATAATAGAAGAGTTACGCTGAGTGAAGCTTGCAACTCTGATGTCGATCAATGGGCATTTTTAAATATTGGCAACATTTGTTTTTGTTACACCTCGGATGACTTCACCAGGTTGTGAAGGTTTCCTCTAGTTTCGATAACAATACTTCACACGCAACAGAGTCAGTTTGTCTACTGGCAGCCCTACTTTTGCTCAATAAAACAGTACCATATATCATCGGAAAAGCTGCTGTAGAAAGGTTAATAAGTACCATGAAATCAGATGAAATGTTCAGTAAATCATTTTGTGCATTTGTGCATTTTTACTGAACATTTCAGCTGATTTCATGGTACTTATTAACCTTTCTACAGCAGCTTTTCCGATGATATATGGTACAATTACACTTCAAAATGGTGCTAAGCGGTACAAACTAAGGAGCATTTTCAAATGCTTAATGTACAGTTTTCTCTATTTTAGGGAGCGTACTTCAAATATTTACTGAGCATTTTAAGATTTTTAACGTATTTTGATCAATCATTTAAGGAGCAACCCGATCTATTTTTAGGAGATTTTTTTTTACTTATTGAGGAACATCGTCATTGCTTAATGATTCATTTACCTTTTTACCATTTTCAACTCTGGTTTTACGCTAAATTCAACGCATGACAGCGTTGTCCTATTTTTCAAGAAAGAGAGTGAGAGAGTGCTTTCATTTACACTCTTACATTTACACTCTTACATTTACACTCTTACATTTTATTGCAGAAGAGTGACTATGTAACATACTGTTTTATCACAGGCAAACAGAAATAACACTCGCAAGTTGTTCATCGAACAAGAATTTAATAGACCATTAAAAAGTATCGTAGTTGGTATTCATCTTTGGTAGTACTACCAACAATCAATACGAAACTAACGATTTTAAATTGGCTCACCACTTAAGTAGCCTATTGGTCCCAAGCATACGATTAACGTACCCTATTCTAGTTGAAATTCTATTACTACACTATGTTTGTTTTGATTCGCTATGAAAGTTTGACAGATAACATCAGGGGTGTGTGGATTCATGCAGAACATGCAGGGGTGAGTGAAATAGCTTGGGACTGCTTGGGACCGTTGTTCTGGTACTGAGTGAGCCAAAAATAATAATGATTTTCTTCGGGACCCAGTGGTCTTAGAGTTACCTCTATGGTACTACCCTGAGTACTGCGGACTCACTCAAGGTGCTTGTCACTTGGGAGCCAGTGTGAACTGTCAAGCGGGAGAAAAACATTCAGAAGCAGCAAATGCAGTTACTGTTCTTATCTACCGTCAAGCATTGTAATCTCATAAAAATGATTCATACTTTTTCATAACACGTTCTTAATTTTAAGCTCAAAGATAAAAACCAACAGGCTTAGTGATGAAAGTATTAAAACCAGCATAGTTTTTATGAGGCAGCTGAGTTTTCAATTACAGTAAAACATACTTTGGCGAAACATGTATGTAAACAAACTTTGATAGAGTCATGGGGGCTCGAGCACTCCTGGCTCAGAGGTTTTGGCGGGAATCAACTGAGAAAGAGCAAATCAATTTTAAACTTGAGAAAATTTGCAAGCAGTTTTCCATTGGCTTGAAAAATAAAATTGGTCGACTCCGCAGTACCCAGGTACTACCAACTGTGGCGCGCATAGTCAATTCTCTTGCGTTTGACGTTTACACACTACCGCCATCTGTTCAGCGTAGTGCCCACCACAGTGTACTCAACAGATGGCGGTAATGTTTTAGCGACGATGTTTTACAGTAAGAAATATTCAATGTGTTATGTCTGTTTGTCTGTGGTTTTATGTTGACGTTCAGCATACGTGTGCGAGTATCTTTTCATGGTGATATATATGGAGCGTACACGAACGTAGCGTGTTCACCATGGCATGGGGGGTTGCTTTCATTATCATTCCTTTAAGCTGGGTTTAGACAGGGCAAGTCAATTGATCATGTCAGTTGAATTCAACTGACTTGAACGTGAATTGAACGTGTAAACCATGCCATTCAATTGACTTGATCATTTCACTTGAATTGAAAAAAGTTGAACCAGGCTCAACTTTTCAAGCCAATTGAATTCAACTGAGTTGATCAAGTGACTTGCCTAGTCTAAACCCAGCTTTAGGGCCGATAGAGATTAGTGACGTTTGACACACACACACACTAGCGGATGTATCGCCACGTAAAGCTGTTTATTATTTTCCTCTCACATATTGCACCAATACAACCGGAGGTGAAAATATCTATGAGCCACCTCTGAACGATATGTTTGTTTTCAAAAAAAAAAAAAACATTTTAAGAGGTTGAATTTACAGATTGGTCCAATTTCTGAAAATAAGGGATGACCTAACCAACGTTAAATAAAGGAAAGAATAAGAAGAGAAGAGAGATGTCATTACGGAGGTCCTATTTTTGAGGTACAATGTTTTCAAGAAAAACTTATTCAAAGAGTTGCGTCTGTTTGTCTGTGAATGTAGTCTGGGGTACTTAATGACCCGTATGAATGAAAAGAGTTTACTTTACTTTCCCATGCGTTTCTTACGAGACAATACATTTTTTCGTAAAAGACATATGTAGATAATGTTAAAATCCATACTTTGATTGCATTTGTCGTTAAGTTCTCTCCAAAAGTGTCGTTAAGCTCTTTCAAAAAGTTGCTTCATAATCTATTATTATTATTTAACTTTATTAATGACTTCATAATCTAGAACAAATAGTGATATTAAGGTGATTCCTTGTAGCGACCATCTTCGCATTACATTTCGAAATTTCACAAGTCAACATAAGCTGTCACGAGATCCCAGCCATAAGAAACCATGAAAGAAAAAAAATAAACTGTGTTTTTCTTGGCTTGCTCTTTTCCGTAGGGAACTATTATTCGTTTATGGGCAGTGCATTGGTGTATTATCATTGAAAACAAACCAACATATACATTAAACATATAACACAGAATATGATTAAAAAAAACCACAACGTGAATGTCAGTGCTACACAACTATAGGAACATCCACCCTATTGCATATTGGTGTTGTTATAGCAGAGAAAAACTGCTTTGTATTAGTTTCTACGCAGCTTTTATAATAATTTGTTTCACTTCTATTAACATAAAATTGTACTTAAACCCTTGCTTAAACCTTCACTCTTTATCCTGTAGCAACAAATGGCGGTAACATTGGCAGAGGGAACTTCATACCAGCCAGAGTGATTCAGTCTACGCCAAGTAGTCCACAAGATAAAAGAAACAAAACTATTGAAGTTATCGGATCAGCAGAAAGCCTCGTTGGACGAGTAAATATTAAAACACCAGCAGTATTTTTTTTATATTTAATAATAAAATATTTATTTTTAACAGGTTTTATTAGAACAAGGATTAGGTAAATATTGTGATCCAGAATTTGTGCATTGCGCTCAGCTGGAAATGCAAGAAGCCCTGGAAATGACACAGGAGGAAATGGATTTAGCTGCTCATGAACTAATGCTTCAAGAAAGATTCAACAGGAACTATAGCCAGCCAAAACAACTACAGCCAAAACAAAAAAGAAAAAATGACAACCAAATTTTATAGCAGAATTTAAAAGTGATAACATAAGTTATATTTCATATGATTTCCGTTATTATTTTTACTTGTGTACCGTTATCAAATGGATTTGGTCTGACAACTTGTTGTTTTCATTTTTGCTAGAGTGCCTGTAAAATAGAATATCTAGAAATGACTACCTGAGACTCGATTTGAGAGAGGTGAGCAAAGAAAATAAAATAAATCTCAACGCGAACCGGCACACATTTTCATTCTTAAATTAATTAGAAAATATCGCGTTTTGAGAAAGCAAGATCAATATTCGTGGGTTTTGAAAACTGCCCAAGTAACCAAAAGCATTAGTAATAACCTGTAAATCAACTTCAACAATCCAGAGTTCATCATACCCTATAACCGCAGCAATAATCTGATTTACAAATTTTGATACATACTTACTGTAGAGTCGGTGTATAATGAGTCACGCCAAGAGTGAAGCCAAGTCTACCTATTGAACTGTCAAAGCGGCTACCTATCGTGCAAAGTAAATAAACATTACGATGCTATGAAAGGTTCACGAAAGGTATTGCAATAAAATATAAAATATAATCGAAGAAATGAGCATAAACACGCAGTGAGCGTTAAATTGTCATGGGATACGCTCGGTAATGATTAGTAATGAGAATTTCTACTATTTTTTGTTAAGATAATTTGACAAAATCACTGATATAATGATTTACTACAGCCGCAGTATTTTTTCTCTCGCTAGAAGTCATTTGAAGTTGTTGTAGAAGTCCTCTGTTGCCAAGTGAAAAGAATTGGAATCTTTCGAAAACCGTGATGCGAGCTCAACTGTTTTTCTCTTGGCGTGACTCATTATACACCGACTCTAACTTACTGTAGGTAGAGTCGGTGTATAATGAGTCACGCCAAGAGTGAAGCCAAGTCTACCTATTGAACTGTCAAAGCGGCTACCTATCGTGCAAAGTAAATAAACATTACGATGCTATGAAAGGTTCACGAAAGGTATTGCAATAAAATATAAAATATAATCGAAGAAATGAGCATAAACACGCAGTGAGCGTTAAATTGTCATGGGATACGCTCGGTAATGATTAGTAATGAGAATTTCTACTATTTTTTGTTAAGATAATTTGACAAAATCACTGATATAATGATTTACTACAGCCGCAGTATTTTTTCTCTCGCTAGAAGTCATTTGAAGTTGTTGTAGAAGTCCTCTGTTGCCAAGTGAAAAGAATTGGAATCTTTCGAAAACCGTGATGCGAGCTCAACTGTTTTTCTCTTGGCGTGACTCATTATACACCGACTCTAACTGTAGGTATTATTAGGTTTTGCACCGTCGGGGTTAACCTCAATCTGATGACAGTTCAGTGGTACTATTTACGTGGACTTAGTCGATTTTTTCTTGGGTGGATTGTCTCGATAATTTTTCAGACTGCTGTGAGATGTAAACCACACTTCTGCAATGTCCACGACCAACATCCTTTCAACGCGCTGTTCCTTGACAATTTTCAAGTTAAAATTCGGAAATTTTAGAATATTGTTTTTCGAAAAAACGACTAAGTGCTTGTAAACAGTACCACTGAACTGTCAAAAAGGTTCAGTTTATTTGTGACGTCACGCTGTAGAACCTAATTAGCAAGGCTGGAGGACAAATTGAAATCAAAATGTGGTGTTAAGATGTAACTTATTTTGAATACTCCAGTTGATATCATTTTGGTTGACTTAACGGTTTACACAGCAAAAATGAGAGCAAAATTATACACTGTTGAATCAAACAGAAAACTAATCCTGCTTTCAATGAAATCAATTTGATTACTGATTTTACATTCATAATATTTAACTGAGTCTGGTAAGCATCCATGCTTCTCACGCTGAAAGACTTGAGTTCAAATCTCACCCTGGAGTAGTCGCGAATTACCTTAAATGTGATCAACAAATCAATTAAACAATAATCGTTAGCTTAACTTTCAACAAGACGTTAACAGCAGAACTTAAGCTACTTTCATTTAAAAAACTGAAAGCACAATATGTAATCAGAATTAAAATCAAAATCTGTTTTCTTTATGATAGTAACTGCAAACATTAATATCGATATGCTTTCATTTTGTTAACCGACTTTGGTCGGGTACGCTCACGCTACAACCCAGTTATGTTGCAGTTCCAGTCTATTGTAATCATATGGCCAAGAAGGCGTGAGGTTTTCCCACCAGAAGGTTTTTCGTTGTTTAAATAAAAAAAACACATGATAATACCCCGGACAGACTATGGCTTATATCATGTAATATAGGCTAGCTTGCAATGAGCACTCATACATCTAGTTTTCACTGGAAATCCTATGTATGAGTGCTCATTGCAAGACAGCCTATATTACATGATATAAGCCATAGTATGTCCAGGGTATAACGGTCCGCATAATATAGTCACCATTGGTTTAAGCTTGTACGAGTGCCCATTATTTTCCTCCATATATCTTCTTGTTGTTTCAACAGTTCATCTATTGAAAACCAATGTATTGAGTCTCTATTCACAACTATAGGAACCTAACGTTTCTAACGTACTGCAACTATAGGAGCATTTCCCCTATTAATTTTAATATTTTTGTTAGCGAATTTGATATTAACCTAAGAGGAAGAGGAGACAACTGACTTTTTTTTGTCTGTGATGTGTTCTTCTTCTTTAGCGGAGGCGACCGTGCAAAAATTATTTCATTATGGGCGACGCAGTCAACTGCCAAAATACAAGAAAATAGATTCATTGTTGTAAAAATTCTCGCGTTTCTAATACGTTCACCCGACCAATCAGGCGCTGGTTCGCGTTTGACAGAAGATTGGTTCATAAAAGGCCCCCTATTGTCCCTCCTGTTAGATATCAACCGCTCAGTTCATCGGATATTTTCACGAAATACCCCGTAGAGACTATGGTTTATATCATGTAATATATATAGACCCTTTGACGTTTAATCGTCTTTCTCTATCTAGCACACATGGATGAATGAACGGTTTGTTTTCCCACTAATCTGTTTCCCTCTTGATCACACTCGTTCGATTTAAATGGTGCAGTAGTGTGCGCCGATTAAACGTCAAAAAGCTCTATAGGCTGTCTTGCAATGAGCACTCATACCAAAGAAGAATACTAATAGCAAAGATGAATACTAAGATGAAACTGTCGGAAGAAAAACTTTCTATTTTAGTGTCTTCTTTCACGGTCCCTTTCATCCAATGAGAACCCCTCGTATTCAAGGTAATTTTGTGGTTTTGCTGCCCCCTCGGAAGAGATGAAATTTTGCGCTCATTTTTATCAAAACAATCACACCAAAATCAGAGATGTCCCATTTTTTAATTACTCGATTAACAACTAATCGAATATTTCGACAGTGAGCATGCATAAGGGCCTATACGCGATGATCGATTCTCTTCATCGATTTTCTCTTTGCATTGCTACAGCTAAGCGAAACAATTTTGTAGAATTTATTCAATGTAGAGTTGTAACAGGTTGCATTGGCCATCAAAAGCAACAGCAAACGCACCGACAAACGTTAAATCTGGCGAGTTATTAACAAAAGAGAAAATCGATGAAGAGAATCGATCATCGCGTATACGCCCTTATGAATGCTCACTGTCGATTTTTTGTTCGCTGTGCTGCCATTTTTCCACCAATGAGAGTGCAGCACATGTTTGAAACGATCGGTGATGATCCTGTGGAGGTGTTAATGCTTATATCGGCATGATATAACCGATTATAAATAGTTTACTTTTCGGTTCGTTAATCGATTAAACGATTATTCGAATGAAAATCGGATATCACTAGATGAATGTGAAACGTCATTTTAAATAAAAGGCCGTTCATAAATAATGATACAATTTGAAAGGGACCGGGGCTAATCACAAATTACGTCTCCATGGTAATTGAAATAAACACGAGTGTTCACCGGTTGGTAATAGTACCACAAACGAAGTGACAGACGGAGCGGCTCGAAAACTTTGGTGACTAACCTGCTATTTCAATTTTTCAGTGTACCACATGGCAACATCACTACTACTGGATTGTACCACATGGCAACACTACTACCACAAACGAAGTGACAGACGGAGCGGCTCGAAAACTTTGGTGACTAACCTGCTATTTCAATTTTTCAGTGTACCACATGGCAACACCACTACTACTGGATTGTACCACATGGCAACACTACTATTGGATTGAACTAGCATTTTCACCAAATGTACTAGAATATTTTGGTTCTATCTCTTTCACTCTACTCAAAACTGAAATGCATAAAAAAATGACAAAATGATACGCACTCTTTGCACACTGTCAAAGAATCATTGTACACAAAATCAACTTTGTTCAAATCAAAACAAAAAAACTAACCCATCTGGTGGATGATGGCACAAGCTTCCAAGAAAATTCTATTACAGTGAACCACATTATTTTAATGGATTTCTTCGCCAGTAAGTCGTCTGTCACTTCGTTTGTGCTACTACTGGATTGTACCAGTATTTTCACCAAATGTATTAGAATGTTTTGGTTCTATCTCTTTCACTCTACTCAAAACTGAAATGCATAAAAAATGACAAAATGATACGCACTCTTTGCACACTGTCAAAGAATCATTGTACACAAAATCAGCTTTGTTCAAATCAAAACAAAAAAACTAACCCATCTGGTGGATGATGGCACAAGCTTCCAAGAAAATTCTATTACAGTGAACCACATTATTTAAATGGATTTCTTCGCCAGTAAGTCGTCTGTCACTTCGTTTGTGATATTACGTTCAGACTACAGAGTTATAACAAAGATGAATACTTAGATGAAACTGTCGGAAGAAAAACTTTCTATTTTAGTGTCCTCTTTCACGGTTCCTTCCATCCATTGAATACCCCTCGTATTCAAGGTAATTTTGTGGTTTTGCTGCCCCCTCGGTAGAGATGAAATTTTGCGCTCATTGTTTATCAAAACAATCACACCAAAATCAGAGATGTCCCATTTTTTAATTACTCGATTAACATCTAATCGATTATTTTTTGTTCGCTGTGCTGCCATTTTTTCCACCAATGAGAGTGCAGCACATGTTTGAAACGATCGGTGATGATGAGAAGTTAATGCTTATATCAGCATGATATAACCGATTACAAATATTTTACTTTTCGGTTCGTTAATCGATTAATCGATTATTCATATGAAAATCGGCCATCACTACACGGATAGAAATCTCCTTATACCTTTTGGCAAATTTCCATTGCTGATTATTCATAAAATGTATAAGTCAACTAATATGAAGACGCCTTGCAAAAAGTTAATAAAGATCATGTGTCAAATGAAATGTATAAGCGGTCACACATACCTTTTATGCATTCTAATAGGACCTATGTGGTTTGTTTTATGGAATGTATAAGGCTGATGCTTTGGCAAAAATGTATAAG